TGGTATTGTGAAATATTACATGGCAATCTCAACATTTTCCGAAACATTTGTCCACTTAATAAATTTCAAAGAGATATTCCACTTTTATATGTGCTTACGTGCACAACCAAATTAGTATTGCTCCTAGTAACCCAACATCAATTCGGAAAGGCGTTGCATAAATTAATGACTTCTTTCCCAGTGTGTGAGTTACTAATGTAATTGATCAGATTTTTGAAACCTAGTTTTACATAAAAAATTTCGCGAATCTTCCGCTCTCTAAGTGTACTTTCAATATGTGAAAGAATATAACTTTTGTTTCCATCCAAAGTTAGTTTTAAATACAACGCCTGTCTGACCGAACAAACGGACCACTTTGTTCCTACAATGGCAATTGCTATAACAAGCGGATACACAACTGTTTCATTTCAGAGTGGGTTATTGTCAAAAACTTGTGCCGTGTATGAGTAAACTATTTTCTAGCGATACGCCATGATCATCCTCAATGGAGAGTAATTTTAGAAAAGTGCTTATATCGTAAATCGGTGCCAAGTATTTGATGGTATTAAAGCGGGATTAATTGCATTTAAAATATTACTCTGTAATTTGTCGTTTAGTAAAGAGATCAACAAATAATTCCGTTGCGACCATTTGTTCATAGCAGAAGTTTCGTCAGATAAAGTGGTTTTCTATAAAATATAATTTTGTTGTTTTTATAAGAGTGAATCATAAAATGTATATATAATATGTATATACAGATGTGATTAAAAGCTGTTGTAAATTTTAAACGCAAATTATATAAGGTAGGTTTAATAATATGAGATTTTATCCACTTTATATAGCCATACCATTCCGGACATTTTTTCGAGCATTGCTTCTCTTTTCACCGCTGACAAACGCCTGCTCTTTTACCAGTTCGTACAACTTCCATACTTTCAACCATAGCATACTTGCTGTGCTAATCCTTTTGCTGGTAATCATCAGGTTTCTCCTTACCATTTTAATTTGTATGGTATTCGTTTCTCGGGGACCCATTATATTCATAAAGAAATTCTTGATTGTTTTTAGATTGAAATATTTCTATAATTTGTGTTCTGACCATGTGAAGAGATAACTATGTCTCGACATCGGGGCCGAAATTCAAATCAAGTCACTCGGATTTTAACTCGTCTCGTCTCCAGATCATTTACATATAGTATTTGTAACTCTATATTTATCTCGATTAGTTTTAGGTGATTCATAGAACTGTTAGATGAACACAACTTTTATTATCTGTAGCAACATGTTGTAAGAGTATAGCAAAACTGCTTCATTACTTTTTCCCTATTGCTTTTACATTCAGCAACACATCAAAAATATGGATCGTACGTAGACTTTTGTTGCCCATTGTATGTGTGTATATAAATATAAATGATCAGGATGGTGAGACGAGTAAAATTTGATTGACTGTCTGCCCGTTTGTCCGTCTGGGCAAGCGATACCTTGAGTAAAAATTAAGATATCGGAATGAAACTTGATACACACTAATAGTTTTTGGCACTCGAGAGAGGCTGATATTGTAGATAGTTCTAATCGGATCACTATCACGAATATAAAACACCAATAATCGAAAAGCAAAGAAAGAATTATTCAAGCTATATCACTCAAATTTGCACAGGGCAAATCACGAACGATAAACTCATAACTATGTAGCTAAAGGCATACTCTTGGGTTGGTACAAGAAAACTTTATAGGAACCGGGGCCGGGGCGTGTTAGTCCCACATTTCGGTGAGAACATTTATTTAAGGAAATAATAAACCAATTTCAACGAAGTTAGTAAAAAATATTACCCCGACATACTTACCTACACGCCTACTTCCCATAGAACACCTCTGATCCTTTCACTTACCACAAATATAACCATATACCGAAGTTGTGGGCCCTAGTACCTATGGCTGACTTTTTAGCGAAAATGTTGGTCAATGTGTGAGATATATAATTACAATTTAAAGAGAATCTTTTCCTGATAACAGTTAGGCTGTTCACGGTAAGGTGGTTATCGGGTTATGTGGTTATTATATTAAAAATAACCTCTATGATCCGTGAACGTCCCGTATTGATGGTTATATGCTTATTTTTACACAAACAGCTGTTCATTGTTTACATTTTAAGTTCAATGAAATTTCTACTTATAAAATGYCKAAACAAAGTTTAAAAAGCAACATAATTGAATTTAAAATAAGTTCTGCTATTCAGAAAATGGACTTTATTGAAGGCATGTGCTTATTAAATAATCCGAATTTTAAGAGTTCAAAAGATTCTTTGTATAAAATTTGAAGAGATCTTGCGCCCTGAACTGTGTCACAATGCAATTGTAAACAAAAAACAGCTGTTAATAGCAGAATTTCCACTTAGAAAATATAAATGGAAATGCCATTCGCTTAGTTTTATTTATTTTTCGTGCTGCCATTTAGTAAAACTCCAACGACTTTCTAACACTGGAAATAAGCAAACAACAACAACAAGGGTCTGGGTTGGTCAAAGTTGGTTAACCACCTTATCGTGAACAGCCTAAGTATGTTTCTATGTTGAAAATGTGTTGAATCGGATCAATACTTCCCTTAGCCCCACATACCCAGTAGAAAGAACTTCCGGTGGACTTTATAACCCATATATTGGGCAATATATGAGTTATCTTAATAGAATTAGGTGAAAGTGTATTTATAATAATGGTGCACATTTCTGCCTAAAATAAATAAAATCAGATGAAAACTTTTTCTAGCCTTACATAACTAATACATTAATATGTGGTAATACCAAGGATAGAAAAATTCGGATCGACCTCTATCTCTTACGACTTTAAACCCTTTAGGTTGGTCAAAATGTGTGAAATTTTGAATAAAAATTATTTAGTTGTATTAAATTTTTTGCACATTTAATGCTTTTCCCCTAATTTGATTCTTGAAAGTTGCGAGAGAATAAAATGTTCGGTTACATCCGAACTTAGCAATTCTTCACTTGTTTAATTGTAAATTATTTGCTTGGTATTAAAATTTTTGTTTTTATTCGCCAAAAATACATTTTTAACCCAGTTTGTGGGATCACATTACAGTTTTTTTTCAATCAGGTTTTTGGAACACGAAATAAAAAAAAAAAATTAAGTCCAAAGTGGATGCATTAATATGTTTATTGCATTATTTAATATCCGATAGCCATTTTAGGTTTAAGTGTTTCATTTAATATTTTAGACCGACAATACCAATATTATTTATGAATTATGCCATTAAATGGTTTAGGAAGGTAAATTTTAAATATATTTGATAATTTCCATTTAAATTATAAAGATTTGTTAAAGTCTTTTGTTAAGAATGAATGCAGAAAGAGCGCCAATTCAAAATAGCCATGCACAATACTCATTTACAATAAATTGACCGTATCAGCTATTCATATAAATATCACTAGATTCTGCAATGGGTGCTCTCGTGCCCTTGTATATTTCGGTATAGGATTTTTCCAATCTGCAATTTTGCAAGGCCAAGAGAGTCCCCATATTATACGAGTATTATTATATTATATTATATTAAATTATATAATATATTGCATACACCGAACTATAAAGTTTCATTTTTGTCGGATTGCAGTTTAATGTGTTGAACACAATGCTCGCGACAGACTGCAAACGCCATCTGTCAAATATTAAAATACACACGTTGTTATGGACGGACCTATTTTGACAGCTGCACGACTACACGACTGCAGGCCGACAGTTGTCGTTCTCGCTAACTTCAATTTAATACTATATTTGCCAACGACAGCAGAGTTGACAGTATAATGGAAGATAGAGAGATGAGGTAGAGTGGTGATGCCACTAATATGTAAAATGTAAAATTATCCACAGCTCTAACAAACCTGACGTTAATTTATAAATAAAAGCATAAAATAGCTCTGTTACATCATTTATAATAACAATTGATAATTTAAAACAAATAAATTTACCTATTTACTTATTTTTTGCTTAAAAAATTCACTTTGAACAAAATATTAAAATTTCATTGAAGTGCAAGGTATTGGTATGACCACAACGAAATTGTGTACATGCAAAATGGACAACTGCATTGTTTTGTGTACATGCCGGCCATTGTTATGTTGCTGCCCTCTCACAAACGTTCATGYAGTAGGATTCACAACGCCATTTTCAGTTCACTGTCGTGCTGCTGCAGTCTGTCGCGAGCATTGCGTTCCGCACATAATAGTTGATCCTGGTCACCTTAAAATGTACGTCGTACTGTGGTTTGAACCTTTGAGGATGTAGTACAGACACGCACCACCAAAGCACCACGTAAACATGGTATAGTACAGTAGTGGCGAATAAAATGTATTTTGGAGTAAAAAGTTGTTGTGTAAGTGTGTACATGCTGAGTTTTGGGCTAAACTTCTATATTGAAAATCAATTTGGAATGCTTTTGACAGAAAATTGTTATGAAAGAAAGGATAAGTTAACAATTACAATAGAAGTTTGACTGCTCCTTTTGTATATAATAGCATGACATGAAATCTTGTGTCTTTCAAACTGGGCGATACCTCAGCTCAAAAGCCCACACAGTCTAACCCACACGATTATGAAAATTAAAAATTTTTTTTTTTTTTTTKTWTWTKTWTWTWTAATTTTWTTTWTTTKTTTKAGAGCAGCAAACACGATATTTGAGTAAACATAGTTTTTGACATGTATTTCTGCATACGTTCAACATTCATATATACTCACTAAGGTATAACTGTATAATTGCTAAAAATATCCAATGTTATAATCCTGAACTTTTATTCAAACGAATTACTCTTTCGTCTACTCAATAATCTCGCGCATTAACTACTCGTACTCCTTCGGGAAAATATATATGCACATATACATATAGACATCGAGTCGGTATACGGGCACTTAAATATTAAGGTTAGTAATTTACAGATATTTGCTGGGTATAACAATTAATTTAATACCGTTTCTTATGCTTTGCACCGCTCTCATTCGCGCTTGCTCTCTTTCTGGTTCCATACACAGTATACGGTTAGGCTTAAATTTAACAATTTGACTAGTTGAATTATTTTCCATATAAATTACTTTTCCATTTAGTTGATAATTTTCTCTCTGTTCCATTGCCAGTAGTAGTCTCGGATCGAAAGTGTCGTTATTTTCATTCATCTTCCAAATGAATTAATTGTCGCTGATTTCTACGTTAATACGTCAACATAGAGTTTTACGATTTTGTTAATTTATTGTATGTTTGTATATTTAAGTGCACGAAGTTCGGAAATATACGTGAAACTTCATGTATAATTAAAGTTAGTTTCTTTCATCTTTTTAAAGGCAATGGTATTTTCGGTAAAAAAAAACTTTTGTGATGCTTCAGTTTTGAGTATTATCTTGTGTTAGAGGGCTAACATACACCACCACTTTCCACTAACTCCTTGCAGTGGTTTACGTTTTAATTTTTTTTTATTTTAATATGTTACAAATAAACTAGTAATCTTAGTGTCTAAAAAATGCCGCATGGCTCTTAAACTAATTCTTTACTATTTACAATGTTTTTACATTTAGATTTAATTTTTACTTCCGTAATTTTTAAGGCTACGAAAAAATATTGCATTCTGTCAATTTGGAAAAATATAAAAATTTTCCATAATATATAAAGTATTTAAGTAAAATTGAGAACGGCTTGATATCCTCCTTTTCCTTAGGCGAATTAGCCAGTATTTTAATAGAGGTAATGAAGGAATTTGAGCGCTATCCGTGATAAATGCCAATTTTTTTTACACAATTCCATTCCCGTTAATTGCAGGGACTCAAAATACAAGCGCGCACTTCTAAGCGATTCTTACATATGTAATTCTTCCTGGGTATTAGTTTAAAGTGCGTTACTTTTTGAACGCTTTGTTTTTGTTTTGTTTAAGAAATATCATTTAAATGAGTCATTTACGCTTATGTAATATTCTTGTAAACCTTGTTGAACCTTTTAAAAAATATTTTGTAACTTCAGTTTGGGCACTTTCGAACTCTTATCGTATTTGGGTAGTGTTTGCTTTAATTTTTAACATATTTTTTTGTTTAATATTTTTGCTTTGAGTAAAAAGTAAATGCCTTTAATTAATGCAAGTAATGCAAGATAATTTTTCCTTAAATCAGTTCTCAGGATTTCTTTAGTTATGTGATGTCTTTAAGTTGTTTATCGAATTTTCGTGTTTCGAAATTTGTGTGGTTTATATTTTGGATTTCCGACGTTAATCTCACGATACTGTATATATATTATATTACACTTTGCTCTCAGGACCGTCAGCGACATGCTTGAACGCCAAGCGGATTTTTGATAAATACAGTGAGCAAATGTGTCCGTAACTCTTGTTGTACCACTCGGGAGTCCGGCCCCTGGGAGAAGTTGATGATTACACATTTTAATTTTTTGAAATTTAAGTATATTGAATTTATAGTAATTATTTTTACTTACTTAACATCCACCCGCGTCAAATGCATTACGCGTGATCGTCCACTGCCGCAGGGCTCTATCAAATAGCGCGAAGCCAGGACAACACCTCTAATGGCACCGAACATCGGTTTTGCCTTTGCATGATCGATGGAGGTTTCCACAATAACACAGGCGCCGCGCGGCAGATCAGTTGTTTGCCAAGAGCTGTGAAAAAAACACAAAATATGTGAATCAATATTTCCTGAATAGGATTTTTGGCCTTACCGTAGCACGCAGAAGTCGGTGGTGAACTGCCCGTCTATGGCATATTGGAATATTTCCGTCGAGGCGTCCAGTTTCTTAACAGTTTGACTCTCCAGCAAGTTCGAATCCCATGAGGCGCGTTGCTTGATGATGTAGTCCAAGACCTCTGTAGGCGGGCCCTCGACTTCAGTGGTACAGCGCCACAAACGCAAAGGGTGGCCGTCGCCCACTTTCTTGTAGGCAATGTCCACATTGCTGTCATTTTGTGAAGAGATCGTGAACCAGCCACGAGTTCTACAAAAGGGCAATAAGAACATATCAAACTAATACTGGAGGTAATATACTCTGCCACACTCACTTTTCTCTACCCTCCTTGATTGTGGCCTTGGTACATTCATATAGATATCCTCGCCAATTATGGAACTGCATGCCCTCGCCTAGTGCCTCCAGAGGTACTGGTTTCGACTCTTCCATATAGCCGAAATTGCATTTGCTTATCTTATCTTTGCTCGCAGTGAAGATTTGTTTGTAGTTTTCAATCATAAAGGACAGGCATTCATGGGAAGCTTTTGCCTCTTGTAGTTCCTTATCGTCAGGCACACCGGCACCCTTGCGCCTCCTGGGTGAGGCTGAAACCGAAGCTACACCAGTCGAAATAGTGCTATGGAAGAGCGATGGCGCCAGGCAAACCGCCAAATTATTTGCAGTCATTTGATTTTGATCCGCATTGGCTGCCACTAGTGTCAAGAACTCCAACAAAGCGTAAAGTATTTCGCGATTTTCATCCGGTAGTAGAAGTACCGCGCACTGTACTGCTTCTAAACGCACGTCCTTGGGAAGATCTACAAAATGTATGAATACACATTAACACATAACTTTATTTTCGTAGACATCAATTATTTGCAACATACGTTGGAAAATCGCTGCGAAGGTTTCGGACATCTTGGTGGTGAGCAACGATTCGGGTAGATCGCGGAAATACTGCTTCAACATATCGGCTACATCGTAAGCTTGTTGTGTGTCATACACTTCCATACAAAGCGACGTTGAATCGAGTTGTTCCACTTCTGACTTTAGCTTGATGATGCGGGACTTGACACCACTCTTGCGGAACAGGCCGATCTGATCGAGAGCGCGTACCTGCAGCCAACGGAAGGCTGCTCGTATCGCAATCGGCAACGTCTGCCCGGTACGTTGCAATATCAATAACAGTGGTACTCCGAACACTTTCTTGTCTTTGTAGTCGGGCATTTTGATTTTCTTAATAAACTTGGGGAGCTCCCAATTCCAACCTGAGCGATGTGTGGGGCAGTAGCGCTCCATATACCCGGTGAGTATGACCAAGGCAAGCTTGCGTAGAATGTGAAGCTGGCCTGCTGACATGGCCATAAATGGAATGCCATGATTGTTCATGTTAGGATCGATCTTTTGCGAGAAACATTTCCGAAAGATCATGTTTGGACGCTCCTCCATCTGAAAACTATGCCATCGCACAACCGGGGTACTGATGTGTGTGACGACAAATAAAATTAAATAACCAAGCACTTTCCCATTTTATGTAATTATACCCTTACCGTTTAATATTTTCGGTTTCTTCAGGTTTTGTTTCTTTACGTGAAGTGGAACGCGAACGGAAGCTCGCCGACCGGAAACCCTCTCGTTTCTTAGGGTCCTTACCTAAATTAAGTGAGCCACCGCGAGTCAGTTTCTTGACTTTTATCTGTGGAATATAAAAATATATAATAGAGCTCAGTTTTCATTTGCTCATATAGAATTTCACGTACCTCAGTGGTGTTGGAATTGGCGTCCTTTATCAGTAATTTTCTACCGTGATGACATTCGGAGTCTGAATGTGCGCCTATATCATCTACTTTACCTGTGCGTTGCAAAAATCTGCGTGTTTTTGATGGAGTCTTACGCAGGGATAATTTACCACCTGCGGACGACTCTTGGCTATCGCTGTAGTATGAAGAAGAATCATCTGACTTGCCCTCCTTCAAATGTGGCATCGGATTCGAGAAAAAATGTAGTGGGCTGGCACGCATCGAACGCGGTGTGGTCGGTGTACGTTTGGGACTCGCCCGATTCGGACTGAGGAAAGTTTCACTTTGTGATGGTACCTTCAGTTCATTTCCAAACATCGGACCCTTCGGGAATGTATGCATTGGACTGACCGCTGATGGTGAAGGTGGTGTGGAATATACCGCATCCGGTTTACGTATGCTACTGCGCTGGCCGAGTTGTGACAAATCCAATGCTTGTGGCCCACTGATAACAATACCCTCACGATTTTGACGCTTTCGTCGCCGAGATTTTATAGACTCTACGCGTCGCAGGAATGCTTTGGCACCATCCTTAAAACGTTCACTACCAGTGCGACGCAAACGCACCGCTGCTGAATCGGTCGATTCATTGAGAATGGAGTCTGTGGAATTACCAGGTAGAGTAAGCGAAAGGCCACCACCGCCAGGCATGTCGTAACTGTCATCTTCAAAGCGATCCGGACTGGACTCCTTAGATGAACTTTCTGTCTTCTCGATATTCAACTTACCGGCGGGTGGCAGCTCAAGACCCATTTCACCAATGCGCGACCAACGACGTATATGTGGCTGGAATGTCCAATTTTCGCTAAGCGCACAATTCTCATCATCGGAGTCCTCCTTCTGCTGGGATGAATCGTACGTGATTGAGTTGATGATTTGTTGTACTTTAAGGGGTAATTTAGAGAGGGGAAGTTGACAAACCTGCGGCGTTTGCGCCTTGTGTGCTTGGTCGAGGCGCATGTTGGCGCAGCGATTCAATATACAAAGACGTCGGTAGAGTGATTGGAGTTGATCATTCTCTAGGTTGGTGTGATCCTTGGCCACGTTAGTCAGGTCGAGGGGGAACTGGTGATCTGTCGAAAGGAGGAAGATATATGTATATTAAAACTTGATTAGTTATAACGATATACATATACATATATAGGCGACCTATAAGTAAAGTAAAAATTCTTGGCAAATATTTGAAACAACGAGTCTTGGATGACGTATATTCTTTGATTGCTTCACTGGCAAGCGCCTACACTAAGGCAAGAAAATCAGCCAAAAGCAATGTTGCCTGCAGCGTTCCCAGTCAATGAATGAACAAATTTCAAACGTTCCTCGGTTGCCCATTGCATTTTCATAGGCAAATACGAATGTCGAAATTAAATATGGGAAATAAAGAAAAATTTTAAATCCAATTCAAGTTTGCCAAAACCGCCATCCGCTCGTTCACCGCCTCGCGGTTAGCCAACGGAACGTACGACTACGCTGTGGACCAAAGTCACAAACACGGACGAAAACAAACATGCATTTGACATTCCGTTTCCCACCAGACTGTTGAGTCTTCGCTGTTTCGATTTGAATGTAGGCAATCAAGTTCTACGTGTCATCGAATCAATTTTCGATAGCACTGATATTACGTCCGTCGACTGAGCGGCTACAAGTGGGGAGAAATGAAGGTAGCCGCGTTGATTATTTAGTTGCTTTATGGCGTCTTGTTGAATATAAATAACTTGTGGCGAGAAGAATTAGTTCTAGGCATAGTCACACACACATACACACATATGTACGTATGTACTTCCACAAAAGCGCCATTGATGGAAGGAAGTGCGAACCAGTACGAAACTTTTAAGCTGATTACAGACGTGCCAAGGAGTGAGTGTGTTGGTGGTTCGTGGGCACTGACGCATTGCCGCACTACGTAAATACTGCAATGACGTGTTGCGTTGCGGCGCCTCCGCATGTTGTACTGGTGTCAAACGCCACTAGCGGACTTAGAAGAGCTACGGTGTAAATTACTGACAGCAATTTTATTCGAATTGTCGGCAGCGCGAGCATTGTTTATTCATACATCGCCATAAGAATGATACAGTGAATGAATGAGTAAGTGTAATGAACTCGTGCATCGATCTGGGAAAAACTTAAACACATATGTACTTATGCATTCGAAAACACATATTTATAATTAATATTAGAAATCGATAGTGGAGAAATGTTTTCTCTGCGAACTAAAGGAAGTGATCATAATAGCTATAATGTGCTAAATTTAAACTTTGTACTATAGGAAAAATATTTACATATATTATGTTTTTTATGAGCGCTTAAAAGTGGGTTAAGTACAAGTGTAGACAATTAAATAGAATCAAATGCGTTTCCAATTATTCTTTCTACTATTTCAGATGCCTTTATATTTTTCCGAGTGCCATCGAAAAAAAAAAAAATTTACTTATTTATACATGGCATACGGTTATAATCCGATCATATTGCATCTCTGACTCAAGTTTAGTATCCATTTTGGTGGATAGTTTAAGACTCCCACTTTATTAGACAAGAAGCTTTCAGTTCTTCTTCTTTTATGATTCATGAAGCTAAAAAAGCTCTGCGTTGCAAAACATTTCGGTCGTATCTATTTTACTATTCGAACAAACAGTGCGAGAACTTTAAATGCCGAAAAATTTGATAAAGAAAAATTTACAGTTCTCAGGTTGAACTTCGGGATTGTGGACATTTTCGATACCATATCTGCAGATTTGATTTATGTTCGAAAAGAGGTCCACTCTCGGTGATTATCTCTTATAGCAATTATTATTCACAGCAACCATTCTATTGGGGTGTGAGGACAATAAAACGATTCTGATAATCAGATATGGAGAATATGGTAAATATGAAAGCTTTTCAAAGTCAAAATAACAATTATTTTCAACACGTCGATTGTGTCGATTATGTGTCACATGACACTCAATTATGTAACGATATGTTAAAACACGTTCCTTCGATACTTTCAGAGTGAGTGTTGGAGATCTTGATGAACTTTATTTCATTGGTTCGCATGGCGTTCGCCTCCACAAGTCCCTTTTTGGCATCAGTGCAAATTTTTCCACAATAAATTGCGAAATTTCTTATGAAATTCTTTCTTTTCCATTTTTATTTCGGGTGTAATTTAAAATTATTTTTCGACGGCTAGGAATTTATTACGTCTGATTTTTAAAGAAGAGGTCCAACCATCATATAAGTATATTCAATTCAATAGCCGATTTTCCATAGGAATCATGGACTTAAACACAAAACCACTCTTCTCCACGTATCCATGCGTAAATTATCTTAAAGAAAAAAACGAGGAAATGTACTTTAAATTTCTAGTACTATAGTCTGCTAAGCAAGTCCATATGATATTGTCTTGTAGTCTTCAATGACTTAAGTTGCTTATTTACCTTTTCGCTTTAAGTCATCATTTATCGGCATGAAAAATTGACTGCGGCCACAGCTATTAACGGGCATTTCTTTTTAACTCCCCAATAATAAAAGAGTGAAAATTAATTTGCTTATCACTGTGTTCAAAGTGCGTTGCGCTTGCTTACGCCGTACCTGTTAGCGGTTAGCCGCCGGACAGTCGTTTCTTATTAAAACAAATGGTCGCACATCAATTGCATGATTAAACCAATTTGCAAATATGCAGCAAAGTTTGTGCGTGCAGCCAGCGGACGGAACACCTTTGAAGCGACGAGAGTGAATAATGACCGCGAAATTGAGAGTTTCGTGAGGGGAGTCCACTCGGAGATGGATACGAATTGCAATCAAATCTAAAGAAAATAAGCGACACACAATTTCGAAACTGCCGCCCAACTTTCAACAAAATACTATATGACACTTGCTCGGGATCCGACGAGGACCAGGTAAGCAGCTTTCGAAGCGCAGAATGTACACAAAAATTACGAAACTACAAGAATTTCATTAAAAATTCGCATTAATCATTTTGGGTGTAGGGCGAAAAAAAAAAATTATTAACGCTCGTGCAAAAAGAAAAAGGAGAGACTTCTGACACGTCTGGCTTGTGTGCTCCGTCGCAACGTCGATATAAAGAATACAACAAGTTGAATCAGGAAATTTATGATAATATGCAAACCCTTTCAAGGTCAAGCACACACAGTCGAGGGAATGCTGAACAAAAGCTACAGCGACATGTCTAATATGAGTACTGCTGCACGCAACAAGTCGCCGTGCGTGCTGCAGTCGGCATTGAAACTTTTCAGTTCAATTCACCCGCGAAAGGGCGCGACCGAAATATTGCAGAAAAAGCATTAAGGAAGATAGCAAATAAATTTAAATAAGAGCAGGTTCAGTTTGCGGGCAACTCCGAAAAAGCCAATCCCAGTGGTTTAAGGTTCAAGTGGCGAAGTGTGGATGGCAGCTACAGCCCAAACTTGCAGCATTTAGAAGGCAGGGCACAAAAAGCGAAAGCGCGTCGCTTAATCTGTTGCTTGTATTTCAGATTCACCCTTTTTCTCTCGCATGCAACATGCTGCGGCGTTTTATGATACTCATGTGTTCTGCATGTAGCAGCAGTCATTGAACCCGTGTCTGCCAGTGCGCCAATATTGGTTGTAGAGCTTGTTTTAGGAGCCATGTAGAAATGAATTATTGATCTGTCTCGCGCGTTACTACAATTAAATTTTGCTGGTTGGATGTTATCTGATCAGTTTCCTTCGAATTCTTTTTCAAGTTATTTGACTAAAAAGGTTACATTCGAATTTGTACGATTTTTAAGAGCTTCGAAGAGAGGTGTGTCCAATGTTTTATTGTCTATTCCTGAATTTTATTCTTTTAGGCCTGATTTCTGTGATGCTGAAGGTATATTATCTTCCATAGTTTCATTACCGTTCTTTGTAAGTTGGTCAACATTTTTAGAATAAGCAAATTTAGGTAAAAACAGTTTTCGAAACTCTAAATCTTTCTACGACTGTAACCAAGTCGTATTAATTATCTTAAATAATCTCTCTTACGTATGGCAACTAATGTGAGTACTAACTCGCTAAACCTTAAACCATAATTTACATTAGGCATGGAAAGAATAGAATGTTGGCTTATTGTGTACTACTGCCATCTCTTGTTTTGTTAATTATGTACATATTAATTCAAACTTATTACACATAAAACTTTAATTTAAATGAAGTTTTTTCCAAAAGTGCACCGATATAGTGAAGTTGATATATCAGTTGCCTTACATAATATAGGCGCTGTATCTTAACAATCTTCTTTTGTTCGCAAATTTCAAATACAAAGACTTTTATTTTGCTGTTGCTTCTACTCCACTTTAGCGACATTCATGCGCATATCTTTTCTATCAATTGCATTCTTCCTGTCTCAAAAATGTTTGCGTGAATACCCGAATAAAAAAAAACTTTCTGTGAATCCCTTTGAATGGTTAAAGACGTCCTTTGCTAAATTTCTTTTTTATTTTGGGAAATACTAAATTTTTGCAAGGTTGTCGCCTCGTAAGAGCAGCCGAATGCTAGATTAGGCTTATTTCATGAGAAATACAGGTTTTTGTTTGCGACGTGCCACACACGCTTCCCCACATGCCTTGAAATGTGATATTAAATTGGTTGCTCAAAGAGTCTACACTGAAAAAATTACAAAATGAGAAGAAATTAAATGATAAATAGCGCGAATGCTGATTATTCCATATTATCACTGCGCTTTCGGGAACAACAGTAAAAACTTGGGAACTTGGCCTTTTTACCCGTGTAGACCGAATATTTTTTTATTATTTAATTTTTTTCTTCCTTGAAATTGTTCAGCTTTTTTGCGTTTTAGTTTCCATCGGAATTTCTGCGCCAGAATGCTTGGATTATTCCTTTTTGTGTTAAATACTTGTATACTAATGTCTGCACTTTTAAATACCGGTCTTGAAATGTTAGGCTTATTGAAATAAAATATCGAAGGTGTGACTGCAGGGCAAAGGTTTACATACAATATATGGAACTCAAGTCTCTACGAGAAAAAGGTCGAATAATATAGAAACAGCGAATAAATTTCGTATGTCAAACAACTATGGTTTCATAGTCACTATTTTTGAACACTGAGGGGTCATTTAACTCGAAAATACGAGTTAGTCTGAATTGAATTTGACATGATTTAGCCGTTACCATAATATATATACATATATATGCATATATGCTTTGAATACTATAGTAACTAAACTATAGTTTTCATTGGAGGCCTTGACCTTTCATTTTGCTTTAAATACTAAAAAACTATGCTCGAGAATTTGTGAGGTCAATTTGCACCTTAGCTGGTATTTGAGTTTAGTGCTTTCATTCATTAAGAAAATATCAAGCACATAACTGCTGCTTGTGCATGTGTGTTTACTTTAAAGCCTTAAATTTGGGTTAAACGATCGATAAATTTATTTCTATGAGCACAATAAAAATAATTATCGCCAATAAAGATTACCATTATAAGTTTTCAACGAAAATTGAGCTAGTCGGAAAATATTAATTTTCAGATAGAAATTTCGAATTGAAAGTGTCCGAAAAGGACACTATTTGACACAATTATATAATATATATGCTTTTATAATTCAACTTTTTGTTTTATTATAATGCTATTTGAAACTACTTGTAATAACTACAATCAGTTAATTAGTTCTTATGGTTTGTAAAAAAAGAAATTAATGCAAGCCAGTTGATAAGGTAAATGATGGCTTTGACAAACAAAAAAATGGCTCCTGAATCTTTTCAATGCACTTTTGCCTCTCATTGAAGTAAAATTTTTTGCTGTTGTAAAAAATGCCAAAAGTTGTTTTTGACCATTGCTAAAAAAACTCGCACTTTCATTGCATTGTTATTACTTCTTCACTGCATGCCCTCATTAATTTATTGATGTGTGAGTTAACTCACTTGTGGTTTTAAATGTTTTCACTTTTTTTTTGTGTGGGGGGAGGTATGTGGTTTAGTGTTTAATAAGAGTGTAAGTTGCCGAAAATTGCGGTTATTAAAAGCCGTAAGAAACGTGGCAACCATTAATTATCAGATGTCATAAACATATACGCATACTTGCCTTTTGTCGCCACATGCTGTGTCGACCTTTCGGACTAAGAAAATGCAAACACTTTCGCTTTTTGAGTTAACGCTCCTAAGGGTTTCACTATCAAGAGGTGTGCAGACCAACATCCCTAATTATCTCTGTAGTTCAAACTAGTGTTATGCGCAGGCGTGCAGATTCTTTTTATTTAATCAGCTTACATGTACTATAACACTCAATTTACACTCACCTTCATACATTTGGGCATATTGCGGGAAGCCGGCAGCACGCAGCCATTTACACGCTTCAACGGCCTCGATCTCTGCAAAGGAAAAAAATAATTCATTAGTAACCGGAATGCACGTATATGTTCAAGTAAAAGCGTAAACTGCATTCGCGCAATACAAAGAGTTCAAATCCGTTTTAAAAGCCATTCAGTTAGCTCCTCAACACAGCGCACAGTTAGCGATTGCCCATGCTTTTTTATGTGCTGCGCATAATCAACTTAATATTTAACTCAATTACACTGCTGTGCGGAGATGCCTGCAAAAAATATCCCCATGAAAATTCGGCTGAAACACTGCAGTGATGCGCTAACCTTTAGGGGACCAATCTTTGGACATAAATTTAATTATTTTTGATTTTTTTCGGGATATTTTGTGAGCTAGCTTAATTAGATGTGCAGGCACATTAGTGTGTGTGTTATTGTGATGTGAACCTGTTTAAAAATCTGGTGTAGTTTGTTCGATTTCCTACCTTTTAATGCTTGGCGTCCTAAATATTGGAGCGAAGAGATCGATATTAAAAAGAAAAGAGAAATGATCTGAATATGTAAACAATAATATAATAACGGGTGGTCCAAGCAGATGTACTTTTTTAAAAGCCTTTTTTTGACAGATTACACGTGAGTCGTGTCAAGCCATCATGTTATCTTTGTTCAGCGACGAGGCCTATTACCGGCTCAATGGGTATGTATTATAAACAAGAAAAATTGCCGCACTTGGGACGAAGGGCAACCTGAAGAGATTCAAGAGCTGCCATTTCATCCAGAAAAACAACGGTTTGGTGTGGTTTGTGCGCCGGTGGAGTCATTGCTCCATATTTCTTCAAAAATGATACCGTTGAGAACGTAACCGTCAATGGCGACGTTATCGCGCCATGATAACCGATTAATTGATGTCTGAAATTGAAGCTCGCGACCTCGGCGACATGTAGTGTCAACAAGATGATGTCACTTCCCACACATCGCATGTATGTATTTCTTGAAAGAACAGATAATTTCACGTTTTGAGCCGGTCGATTGGAAAAGGTAAAATTGCTAATCTAAGCCTTTGAATTGATTACAAAAAAGCATAAAATATTTATAAAAACCGCCGACAGTAATATTTGTAGATCGTTTACAATCAAATTCAAAATCATAATAAAGTTTTTTTGTTTCTATTTCAATTCGACGCTTGCAATTTACCAGTTGGTTTGCATTTAATGTGCATTTTTTTGAGGAAGTTCACAAGTCTGTTGAGAATTGCAGTCCTTTTAAGCGCTTGCAAATAAGAATTAAATTGTTTCAAGTCAACAACGCAAAATTTTCGTTCTGCACAAACCCTCAATGAATGTGTTGAGTGAATTGTGTTTGTGAACAAAAAAAAGCAAAATATTGAATTTGAAGTATTCAGAAAAAAGTAATCAGTTAATTTCCGGCAAAGTTTTAGCAGCCGTCGTTTATTCTTTGAAAATTTCTCCGCCAGAGGATATATGTATACATTAACAAGCACAAATAAACCCTAACGAAGGCAGGTGGGTGGTAGAGGAATAAATTTCTACAGTTACTGGTCACATTAAGTCCCCGTTCAAGCATACGCACACTTACTTCAACTGTATGGAAGATATACAATATGTAATGGCTCTATTTATGACAGAATATGACTAGAGCCTTTTAAGTTTGTAAATAAGTTTGTGACAGCGCAGAAAGGATGCAGTGAAATAGAAGTTATAGGGGAAACGAACATAACATACAAATAAAAAAGAATCATCAAATTCGTTCATATGCTACTCATGGCTCACATTATGCCATACCACCGAACCAGTTTTCTAATGATATAAAGAAAAACTATAATATTATAGAAAAATTGTTAATGGTAATAAAAACAAGAAAAAAACGTTAACTGCAGCTTCACCGAAGCTAAATACCCTTCATAGGTGCATTTCTGTTAGTAGCTATGTGTTCAGTTTGTATGGACGCTATATGCTATAATAATTCGTTCTGAACAATTTTTTCGGATATTATATTGTTACCTGAAGCAGTTAGTCGCATATAATTAACCAATCTGAATAATTTATTCTGATATTACATTGTTGCTTTAGAAAATAACCTGTGCCAACTTTTGAGAAAATACATTGTGAAATGTGAAAATTTTCCATACAAGAACTTATAGTGGTACGATATCGGCGATTCCAACAAATAAGCAGCTTCTTGAATAGAAAATGATGTTTGCAAAATTTCAAAACAATATCTTAAAAACTGAGGGACTAGTTCGTATATATATAGACTGACGGACGGACGGACATGATTAAATCGACTCAGCTCGACATACTGATCATTTATATATATGACCTGGTTTACGAAAAGGGAGCTATCGTGCGAAAAAAAGTTTTCTGGGAAACAGCTGTTAAAAATCTCATCTTCCATCACAATCAACTAAAAAGTGAAAATTGATTTTTGGATTTTTTGACACCTAAGCCGTCTTTCCGTAGACCAGGTCACATATATACTTTGTAGGGTCTCCGACGCTTCTCACTGGGTGTTACAAACTTCGTGACAAACTTAATATACCTTGTTCAGGGTATAGTTATATGAATAGCATTCATGAAAAAAGGAAAAATTATGAAATGTTTTCGTCCACAAAAGTAGATTAAAATATTATTAAAAAGAATTGAATACAGTACAAGCATTTTAAAAAATTAACGAAATCTGACTTGAAATATCCTATTATTAACTCCAGTACCTTTTGATGCTTTAACTCAAATACAGCAAAATTATTAAAATTCAACTCAATTCTTATCCTACATCGCTTATATAACTTCAATGCATTGCCATTGTGAATATACATATGTCATTTTCCATTAGCTACCGAGTTAAACCTCAAGTATCGGTTTGACAAAATTTACTCCTGCTCCTTAAAGGCATTCGGAATATCTCTTTTGCAGAACATCAAGTTGAAAAAGTATAAAAAATTACTTTTTTCAAAATGTGGTGGGTATCTATAATATTGAGTATCAATTTTTAATCATCTCAGTTCGACACAAAATGTACATATGTTTGTGCATAGGTGCTTACCTTGTAGAAATGTTGGAACTGATGGACCAATTATTCAGCAACAAAACAATTTCATAATTTTTCAGCAGTTCTTGGTAGTTTAAACTATATAATATTAAAAATGCTGTAACTCATAAACATATTAATTCTTTCAAGTGTGAAATACATCAGCAATGACAGTCGTACTTCAAAAACTAAACCAGTTTAGTGCCAGCTATTTTTAACAGGGCATTTATGTATTATGTATTACTGTACTCCCAGGCTATTTTATTATGTAGAGATGGGCGTTGTATGTTTGTTTTCCCCGCACACAGTCTAACTTCCGGCCGTCGGTCGGTTGGCACGCTATGAGAATTATTGAATTTTTCAGCTGATTAACTCGGCATATATGGTTGAATCTCTACTCGCCATACCACCCACAAATGCTAACCATGTATATCTTTCCTTCTTCATAACACTTTGGCCTATTCTTTTCTGTGTTTTTAGTCACATATACTCTCAACATGGAAATTTCATTGTGAATGGTTGTAGTCTGAAATATAGATGTGTATGTTTATATGTATGTATATATGCTAACAGCAGATTGGCTCAATCATAAACGCCATTACTGCGGGGTTTTGAGTTTAGAGATAGAGACTTAGACACTTTGTGTTTGAAATCTATTTTTAGCGGCAATGTACGCTTCGGTTTTCCTCTTTCCTTTGAACTGTGTGCCGTCAACCAACTGCACAAGGATCTACCTTGTTGAACAGATTTGCTTTGTTCAATGGTTGTGGCTTTTGTAGTAGTGGAAGTAAATTCTTCCTCGTATTAGTTAGCCTTTTAAGTTTTAGAGCGTGTGCACTCTTGATGCCACTTTACCTTATTTGAGTGTGTCTATACAAGTGCACACCCACCGTATATTCCGCACTGCCTCCGAGGACTTGTTGCTAGTTGGCGCTTTCTTTGTGTGAAATAAATCGATTATTCGTCCTTTCTACAAGCTTGAGCACATGGCTTTGTATTTGTGCATGAATCAGAAGTTACTTGTGTTGCTTTTTTAGGACACTCCTTTCATGTGTTCAATAATATTGATATAGGTAAATATACATACCTATCCATTTTGTTTACCCTCAGTCAATATTTTTCATATTGACGCATTCTTTCGCTGTGTGGGTAATACTGTAGGTATAACTGCAAGAAGCCCTTCGCATAGACCAGTTGGTGTGTGTGTAGGTGTAAACGTGTAAATAGCAACAAGTGGTTGATTCATTTTATTTATTTGGTGTGCTAATGGGAATGTTTGGAACATTTATGGTTGTGATAACAGGCGTTTTGCCTTTTAGTTGTAACTTGACAAGGTCAGTTAAAAAGAAAATACTTAAGGTGGTAGGGTTTGAGTAAATTGGAAACGAAAGGGAAGATAAAATATCATGATACAATGTTTAAAATGTGTATGAATGATTATACGATATTCTCATACTTATACTTTTTTGTTCGATGATATTTTTATGGATAAAATATCAAGAGAAAATATACTTGCTCGTTTTCTGATATAGGATTTTATGCAAATTGTTGTAATTTCGGGCCAGTTAAAAAGTTTTCGAAAACGCCTTCTGCCTTTAAAAATTTTTTGAATTACACTGAACGCGGCGGAGTCGACTGACAAGTTTGGGCAAGTTACAAAGGTGATACATTTAAATTTAAGTGAAATTATTTATAATCCGTTTCTCGAATTTGTTTACGTATTCAATGAGTAAATGAAAATAATTTTTGAAAAACCATGTTTTAATATGTTATTGCCGCATACAACTATCATTGAACAATAAAATATTATTTTGGATATCATTGACCTAAATTACAACAAAATCATTACTTGAATTGGGTTTAGTTATGAAAGTAGGACATTGAATGACCAGTCTCATGGCAGAACCTTTGATGTACTAATTTGCATGGCTGCTACATTCACCAGCAGATGTATATATATATGTGTATTTTTTATGTATTTATTATTTGTAAAATAATAATAC